GGTCAGAACATGTTCTATTTTCCACTTTCTCATAAAATGGCCGAAAAAATGATGACTGCGTCCTTCTGATGTCTGTGATAAGTTGTCTTCAGGCTCCCGCCTCTTTCAAAACCGCTTGGCTGCTGTAAAGGATAAGCAACTAAGCTTTTTTTTTTATTTTATTCGCTGCATCTGTTACTAATTTTTCTGAATATAGTACTAGCATCTTACTAAGTAAGCAAGTAAATGACCAATTTTAGGCCTATGGCGTACTAGTCATACGATGCTAGATTGGTATTTGTTGAAATGGCCCAGTGACCATCATCTCGATGGATCATCTGGTTTACATTACACCGACTGCTGTCACATCCTAGGACTTCAGCTGGTACTCATTGTAGACTGGGAGCCATGGTCTTTTAAAAAAAAATCAAAAATAATCAATGCGGATTCGAACTCAATAACTTGGGATGCGGGGGGGGAGGGGGGAACAGAACATTTAGATGCTTCACCACTGCGGCTCCGATGTTATCTATATAATTCTTTTACTATTTAAACGTTTCTTTTTGCTCATGATTTAAATTGTATATGATTTTGTCACGGCTGACTACATTTATCAGGGTAAGGCAGCGGATTTTGTGTGCATATTCATTGGAATGATTGTGTGCCAGTCAATGTGTTTGCATTGAACATAACTGTTAATTTCTTAACTTTGAGCAACTGTTCTCCCACGCAGTTTGGGCATCCACTTCTTCTGCTTGAACGCAGATATTAAATATTTTCTTCAAAAAAAAAGTTCGTTGGTTCCCCTCTAACCTGACTGTTTTGTAAAATGTATCGATGATTAACTATTGTTTCTTGTTGTGAATTCCCAATCTGGTATTGAGTGCTATACTAAATTGCTGTTTCAGTTGAGCATTTTGACATTTTGCTACATCCTACAGCTGCTAAGAATTTACTGCAAGAGTGTCTGACATAGGCAGAACTGAAAATTATCGAGATGTAATTTCATTACATTTGAAAACAAACTTTAGAGACATAAACAAATTCAGACTGGTTGCAGTTTTTTTTTTTTTTTTTTTACTTGTTTAGATTCACACTTTTGTTTCTACAATACTTTATACCCCACAGTCTTTTTACTTTAGGGAAGCAGTCTTTAAATTTTATTGGGGGGAATGATAGGCTTTAAGACAGCAACGATCGATGCACAATGTGTTCATTGAATAGAAGTATGTGAGCGGATGAGATCTGAAATAGATACAGTGTATAGATGAATCGCAACCACTGAGGTACTGGAAAGAGAAAGTACTACAACAGTCTTCTCCGTGCTCTACAAAGGCTCAGGTGACTGGGTCACACCTGGAGAATGGAAGATAACAGAGTCCCTAAGGACATCCTTTATGGTGAACTACCATATTAGGATTTGTGCAAACGGGACATGAATGGAAAAGGTATTGAGATGGACTCGTGGGAACAAAATGCCATGTACCATGTTGTGTGGAGGGAGCACATCGGGAAGGAAATGATAATGAAGGAAGAAATGACTGCAGAAAGGACTAGAACTGAGAGTCTGAGAAGAAACGGACTAAACACAAATGTTGACAATCGTCTTAAAATCCCATTCTATCATTGTGAACGAATTTTCTCAACGCAGGCAGGTATTGTTAGTCACACTCGCCATCGCCATGGGCTGTTAGTTCCATGTATCCTCAAAGCGTAGTATAACACTATCGTCTGGAAAGACGAGAAGGTGCCAATCAATGATTCAATAGAGTAATCAAGGAACTGGTGATGAGTGACTTCATAAAGATTTAAATATATCCCGGTTATCTTAAGGCATATAGAGATAAAGGAGAAAAGGCCATTTAGAAATTAATTTTGAAGTTGCTAAACAGTCAGTCAAATGATTATAAAGAGGATGAGACTACAATAGTTAAATAAAAATTCTAGAGATAAAGTTGTGATAAGCATATTGATTATATTATAAAGATGACAATTATGTAAGTTATGTGAATGATTAAAACAATAGTATAAGGGTAATTCTGCGTGGGGGGGGGGGGGGGGTAGAAGGTGATAGTGATGGTCATAAACAAAAAATGTCGATAATAATGCTGTAACATAATATGCAAATTAGGGGGAACTTGAGACAAAGACGTAATAAACGTGATAACTAAAATAAAAAACAAAACTGTAAAAAAAAAAAACTGTTAAATGAACAATGCCAAATGGTGGCACCTGGGAAGGTTTATAGAAATGTAGATAGAGGAAGACAGTGAAAAACAGCTGCTGACAGTCTTTTGTCATGGCATAGAATGGTGTCAGTATAAGCTGTTGGAATTTGCAAGATATAGAAAAGTATAACTCCAAATGAGAGTCAGAGATAAACTTAATAATGAGTTTTATACTCGTTGATATTTATAAAGCCAATATTGCAACACTTACTGCACATTGAATAATAATAATTTGTGTTTACTTTCCCTGTTTTGACCAGGAGATATTAAGAAACCCAGAAAGCAAGAACCACGGCCATACGGGATAAGATTCCATACCATGAGGCCCGCAGAAGACACGAAGCAACCCAAGGCATAACTGCAGCCATTACCACCAAATTGAGCAACGAGGTGGCTCAACTCAAAAGTGACATCCAAGCTCTCAGAGACGAGAAAGACGCATCCAAAACCCAACGAGATGAAGACAAAGATGAAATAACAGGCCTGAGAGCTATAATGCAGGCGACTCTTGACACCCAGAAACGGATGACAGCAAAGATGACGAAATTCAAGGAGGACATCATGAATGCACTGGCCTCTATCCAGACACAAAAGGAACAACCAACTAAGGCAAGGGAAGACGAGGCGGGCATCAATGATCTGCGGGATAACCAACAACTTCTCGCGAAAGAAGTCGCAATGATCAAGAAGGCACTGGCTGAAACAGAGGAAAAGTTACGAAGAGCATACGAAGAAAACAACAGACTTAACAAGGAACTGCAAGCAACCAACAGAGTGATGGAAGAAAGAGAGAAAGCACGGAAAGAGGCAACAAGAAGGCAGCAAATACAGGGAGCCGAGACCCAGAAAAAGCCGCATCAAACACCAGATAAGAAAACTCAGGCATCGCTGATGAAACAGTTTCCGTTGGCAACAGTTGACCAAATTAACCAAACGCATCATGGAGATGGAGGACCCGAACTTCTATAACTCAGAACTGCAGGATGATGATGTTTTTTGGTCATCACCAGAGGAACCACATCGACAGCCAAAATTTGAAGTCAAACGAGGTCGACACCGTTACCCCAAACACTAATACCAGATACGACACAACCAAGGCCAAATTACCGAAACCCTATGTAGGAGCAGTACTTTACAACAAGGATACGAGAAAATCACCAAATAATACCAGACCTCAGCAGTATAGCCATCAGTACCTGCCCAAGTCAATTGACCGCCGGTCCTTATTAGGATAGGCAATCTACTTTCCCCGGAAACAACAAACAGCCAAGGAATACCACAATAAATCGATCCAACATCCAATCATCTTGAGCGCAGCACAGGGCCAGCCAGATTACAAAAACAACAGCAAGAGCGGAAACCACAACAAACAGAAAGTGACAATATTGAACACAATCCAGAATCAAATAAGATCGCGACCAGAAAACGTCACCACAAATATAGCTGAAAGGAAAGTGAGCAGAAATGTGAACGGACCTAGCTGAAAGTGGTCAAAGAAAGAGAATTTGAATTTGAAATTAGAGACTGTTTTCAACAACATCATCACGAGCTTCGGATGCCAATATATTTATAACATTGAATTAGCTGAAGGCATAAAGGTTTTAAACTAGAAGGGAAATTTTAGATGATCAGAAGCAAATCGTTTTAATAGATTTGATTGAACAAGGTGCTCATGAGCCTGCACTGGAGCTACTGAGGGGAGATAATCATATTTCTGAAGATGAGCTAAACAAATCCCTTATGTCAGCTTGTCAACAAGGATATACGCGTATTGCCCAGATGCTGGTTGTACGTGGAGCAGATTTCAATTGTAGAGACAGCAATGGAAACACACGATTGATTGTTTCTGTACAGAAAGATTTCACTGATATAGTCCAACTTCTTCTTCAAAAGAAGGCAGATGTCAATGCCGTTAATTCTATGGGTGATTCAGCTTTGATTCTCTCCATTGGTTCACCACGAACAAGGGATGCAGTACAGATTCTACTGACACAGTCAGAAACAAACATTGACCATCAAAACCAAGATGGATACACCATTATGAAAGCTGTCGAAGTCAAGGATATTGATACAGTTAAACTATTGTTGGAGAAATATTTGAATGCTGATGGTGCAAAAACGTCAGCATTATTTTATGACCAACATGAAATGCACGCAAACAAATCAGAATTATTTTGTGGTAAAGATTACATGCACAAAGACGCTTCAGATATTGCTTCTGATGACCTTTCTAAATGGAAGACACTAACGGAGACGGTAAACCGTAAAGGAGAAAATGTTCATCAAATTGCTGAAAGGGGAGGAATTGGAAATGTTTTTCACCTACTTCAAAAACATGAAGACACTAAAATTGCACCTTTAGTGCTTGCAATGAGAGCAAATGATATTAAATCTTTTCACATCTTCTTAGACTGTGATTTTACGTATACATCTGGTAGGATCAACTATCTTGATGAGGTACTGAGACAAATTTTCCAAAACTGCTATGAGAAAGACAGTATAAACTTCAGTGAAAATGAGATTTCAATGATCAAAGGTTTGCTAGAACATGGAGCAAATGTGAACACAGCTATGTTCAATCAAACTCCTGTATTTAACAGTAAACAGTCTAGACGCTATAGATTTGATATATTATTTACCAGTCGTCTTTCAGAACATGGCCTGCCCAGACCTGGACAAGCACACCCTAAAGAAGTAAATCCAATACACATTGTGGCAAAAAGAAGTGGTTATTATCAAGTTCTTGAGCTGCTACTGTCATTTAATGCAGAAGTAAAGAGGTTTAGCTTTCAGCATTCCCTGCTACACGTCGCCTTAAGCAATGGTCACATAGAGTGTGCCAAACTCCTCGTCCAACATGGAGCAAACATTGACTGTAATCATGCCCTTGAGTTAGCAGTTTACCAACAAGAGCCAAAGTATGTAAGATTTCTTACAGACAGTTATAAACATGAAATCATAGAACACATCTTCTAATATTGATGACATTTTGATCATGTCAGTTAGAAATGAAAGTTTGGAAATCATTGGTCAGATTCTTGATCTAGGGGCCAACATCAATGGCGTAGAAGGTTCAGACACATGTCCTTTAGCACAATCCAGTAATAGAAAGGTTGCCAAATTTCTAATTGACAGGGGTGCAGATGTAAATCATGTTATATGTGATGCAGGATTAACAGTTTTGATGTGTGCAGTGAGACGTGAACATAGGAATTCAGCTGTAATAAAAGAATTAATAGACCAAGGTGCAGATGTAAATACTGAAGACAGACAGGGAAACACAGCTTTATTTCACTTACTTACCAAATCGGGTAACCAGGACGAGGAAATTACCAAATATCTTATCCAGGCAGGAGGTGACGTTAACTGGCAGAATCATAACGGTCTCTCACCTCTGATGCTGGCTGCTCAAAATTACTCAAAAGATAGAATGTGCTTACTCCTAGATTCAGGGGCAGAAATCAATGCTGTCAGCAGAAGAGATGCCTCAAAAACAGCACTGTCATATCTTTTGTACAGAACACATCATGAGAGTGATTACTTTAAATGTGTGACATGTCAACTTGATAGAGGAGTCTATGCATCGTACACAGAAGCAAATGTTTTACACAGAGTGATACTTCTAGATCAGATACGTGTTGTTGCAAAGCTCATTCGATGTGGATTAGGGCCTGTCACTGTCTCCTTAAATTGCAAGCGTTTTGCATCTCGTCAGCTAAATAATGAAATGAGTTTAAATACAATGCGTTCATCAACTTATGAAACGGATAACATGACATATTTTTCTCCACTTCAGGAAGCACTATGTGCAGGAAATCCTGTTGTAGCTCGTTTCTTTGTTCAGAATTTGTTCCTTACTCAGTATGACGTCTCTTCACTGTGTCATAACAAGTTGCTGAGACAACATCTTAAAAGGATGAATTACAAACAATGCCTTGATATCCTGGATGAGATTTCAACACAGCCAATGAGTTTATTTAACCTGTCCTTTGTGGCAGTGACGGCGGCTGTTGGAGCAAGTCCTGGTCGAGAGAACAGAGTTAATAAGCTACCATTACCCGAGCTTATCAAAGAGAAACTGTTGTTTCAACAATCTGGGAAGAGGAAGAACGAAAATGGAACAACAGACAGGCAAATGAGGCTGGTCTCCTAGAGACAGATGAAAACCTGAAGAGAAAGACTTGGAGACGGACAACACTGGTGAAGAAAGACTCAGGGGAAGGCAAAGAGATTCAGTGATGGCTTCTGCTATCCGGATGTGGTGAGATTAGAACACTGACTTGATCTATGATTCTGGTGATTGTGTGAGTGGCAAAACATGACAACCTATACTTGTCGGAATGACACATGACGATGATGAGTTTCAACTGCTTCAGAAAATAAAATTGACTCTGCATCTTTGGAAGAATACTGTGCCTGTATCAGAGGCACATGATCAAAGAAAAGGACCATTTTTCACGCTTAAGGCGTTTAGGGCATATGAGGCTAGACTATTTTTATAGACCAATCAGCACAAGATGGGTGATGTGGTCAGCAATACGCCGGCCGCCTGTACTTCCCGGGACTGCACCCGGTACCAACTCAAGGCTGGGTCGACCTGGGAACCAAGGTTATTTTTGAAAAAAAGTCTGGCTCCGCCAGGGAGCTAATCCATGACCTTCTGATTCGCGGTGAGCGACTAGCCGCTCTGCCACGGCGACTCCCAGAGGCACATGACGGTGATGATAATATTAACTGCTGCACAATACAGCATTGAAATGCGTCTTTGTACAAATATATATATATGATAATGATGAATGATAATTTCAGCTGTTCCACAAAACAGTATTGAATCTGCATCTTTGGAAGAATGAATGAATCAGAGGCACACGATGGTGATGACAATTTCAACTGCTCCACAAAAGAGTATTGAATTTGTATCTTTGGAAGAATATCAGCATTAGAAATGATTGACAGCCAATGAGACAAGGGGTGAGGCTCGGGACAAACTTTATTAGAACTACTCGGCATGGACTTTAGAAAAGACGTTTCATCATATCCATCAATGCAGACCTCATGAAGATGATGCTTGTCATTCACCGGAGATGTCATATAATCATGCGTGTTACTTACTTATGATATCGCTATATCATCGAAAATAAATATTTAAGTTTTCTTGGATTTAAGTACTCTGCCAATGATAGTGATTAAATGTAAGTTGAGGCAGTGTGTATCCATAAGTTATGTCTCAAATAAATTTCTTTCTGAGATAGTTCAGTTTGTACTTATTGCTGTTGAATATACAGATGTATACGTCAGTTAAGAACTGACATCCGACACTAGATATTCTCACAAGTGCTCCGTCCCATCTTCAGGAGCCAGTGAAGAGTTTTAGTGGTTCCATACACATTTATATTTTGGTTCTTTTAGTCCTAAGCAATATGTTATATGTAACTGCCTTTAGTCTGAAAAATTCCATTTATACATTTTGCCACTGAACATCAATTTTCAGACTTGTATGTTGGCTCTTTCTGTCCCAAGTAACATGTTATATGTGGCTGATTTTTCCTTCTGTGTCAAAAACATCACGTCAGCTATCTTATTTGTTTTTACTGGTCAGAACGTATTTGGGAAATCTGGCTTATTCTATGACATCGTGCATTCTCTGTATTATGTGCTTTTGTGAGTAGCCCCAATCATCATCATCATCATCAGGTGCCTTGCCGACTAGCGTGGGCGATCATACCTCTCCATAATCTGCGATCTCCTGCAGCATGTATCAATACTGTAAACATTCTGTTGTAGGTTCGTTGTTAAATTATTTCATTGCAGTTTTTACTGTGGCTTGATTTACTCTTTTCTAAATGTAATTGTCAGGTGATTTAAATATGCAGCCTTACTCTTTTATTTTCCCCCCCCCCCCTTCCCCTTTTCATCTGAACAACTAGGCTTCCTGTCTTTGTTAAATGTATAAAATTTAATCATTTGTATACATTTTTTAATATTGACAAATTAAAGACCTATTTCCACATGGTGAGGTGAATTTGGTAAAGGCTGCCCATTTTCTTTTTTCTTATTCGACACCAGCTGTAAAAGACTTTTTTAATGAACCAGTCGCGGTGAGGTGACTTCGGTAAATGGTCTCCATGTAATTGCTTTATTAATCAAGCAAAACCTCTTAGATTTTGTGGGTCTATTCTTGTTTTTCCCCACAATGTGACCCGTTACCCACAAATTATTAGTTAAATGGGATTGTGGTTTCTGTATGTGCTGTGAATATGAAGTCAATCAATCATTAACAATTTATAATTCTAGTAACCTGCAAATAGGGCTCACATTCTACTCGTTTATTTTGTTCTGTCCCATGCAGTCATGGTTGGAATCCAGTCCAGCTTTGACTTCTGTCATAAGTCATTCCAGGTTTTCTCTTAGAAAATCTTTGTTTTCTCAGTCGACTTGTTTCCCATCTCGGTATATGTTTGATGATTCTACCAAAATATGCTAATATACCACAAACTTCTCTAATCTTTGCTTTATCATTTGCTGCTTGTAGTTGGACAGGTATTTCTCCTATTTCTTCACTTTTAATTATCTGAAATTCTTCCCATGTTCATCAATTTCCTCAGGCTACTGCTTGCCAAATTATTTGTACCCTTAAAGAGTACGTGGTAGATAATTATACTTTGCAAATTAAATTTTAACATTGTGAGAACATTTTAAGTTCCCTACAGTAACATTGGCAGCCACAGTGGTGTATCGGGTAGACGTCTGCCTGCTGAGAGGAAGGTTTTGGGTTCTTGTCCTGATGAAGCCGGACTTAGAAAAAAAAAATATTTAAACATGACATTGGTTGCAAGCCTTAAATAGGTACCAGGTAAAGTTATGGGAGGTAAAAGTGATCGGCATGGTGCTGCACATCACCCACCAGGCGCCGATTGGTCTATAAGATATAGTTCTAACCCTATAGGCCTGAAAGCATGGAAAAGGGTACATTTACAAAAAGTGTACTGTTTAATCTCTATCTGCTAGTATCAACATCTACTAGGTATGTGACATGTTATTTTATAGTTTTCCATTATGTTTGAGAATGTATACACAGTTTGTAATACACTTGTTCTATATTTTATGTATTTTGATTTTGTTGAGAATACAGTTTATTTAGAATTGTAATGTTTTTGCTTTTATGTCCAGCCACAACTATGACACTGTCCTGCTTATTCTGAATGTTTCTAGTAAGATATTTATTAACTCTGTGGGCACCAAACAACTCAGCATCCGTTTCTTGATCGCCCCAAACACAATATTCTGTTCTTTCATTTTCTATAATAAATAAATGCTGCCGTAACACATTGCATCTGATTTGTAACTTTACTGTTTCCAACAACAACAAAATTTGGCTTCTGGTAATGGAAGACATTAATGCACCGGATTACCTGTAAACAATGTGTTAAATCTGTAGTTTCCTTACACTAAATGATTGTGTATCGTGCTAATGTAAAGCGTTAAATGTATGTATGTGTCCATATCTTTTATAATGGCTAGTTTAACATATAGAATGCTGGTAAACTGGATTCTGAACTTCTTCAGACGTAAAAATGTAATACTTTAAAGCACAGCATCTTAGATTATGACAAGTTTCGGTAACTACCACCTCGGACAGAAAGAATTACAGATTACCCAGATACATTATTTATATCACCCACTGGAATGTAGACTGTCAACCAAACCAAGCCTTCCGGTTCTTTGCCATCTTTTCCGGCTGTTTCCAATCAGTGCGTCCCATGTCCTCCATATTGTTCACCTATTGATATTTCCTTACATCACAAGTATTTAGATCTTTATTTCTTTTTTTTTTGGGGGGGGGGGGGGGGGGGGGGTGGCGGCTGAGATTTTCAAATTGAAAGACACTGTACTTATAT